TCTTATTCATGTGATGTAAAATGTTTTTTAAATCCTAAGTCAATGATATTAAATTGCATTGATGCGATATTTGGTTTTTTAAAGTAAAATAGATATCATTATTTTGTTATTTTAACTTGCCATTTTTAACCAAGGAAAATTTATTTGATCTAGGATAAGATACTAAAATCTGATATAAATCTTTATTTCTCAAATAATGGCAAAAAAATGGAATGTTAATAATTCGTAAAGAATTCAAAATGTATTTTGTAATTTAAAATAATCTGCTTGTAACTATTACAATTTTCGAAACAATTTTCAGAAAGATTACTATCATTATTATATCTGATTATTCAGAATTAAATATGTGTAATGGAAGTATTACTAAACTCACATTACTAAAATTATAGTTTATAATTTTCTAAAATAATTCTAAAATTAATTGTAATTTAATAATTTTTAATTTAAAAAATAATAGGATAGTGCTAAATGATCGTCTACAATATCAATACATTATATCTCATTTCTTTTCTTCAAATGCCTGTCGTGCCGAGTTAACTCTAATCGTGTTATTGTAAGAATCATGTTACCGACATAACAGTCTTCTTCTTTTTTTTTCTTTAAATATTTTCAAATCCTCTTTACACATTACCTAACTCGGACATACGAGAACATCTCAATTAAAAAAGATAACTTTCTATATTTTTTTAATTACCAAACTTAGCTTATGATCCGGAAATAATCGTGAGCCAGAAGTTCAAAATTCTCTTTCTTGTTTTTCTTTTTTATTAATTTGCGAACAAACTGGATCTCGTAGGCATTCGTGTTTTACCACATCGACTACACGTCCAAGGTTAACTAGAATATTGCTGAGTAAAAATGAAGTTGCTGATACTAGAATTTGCTACACTTTAATGTTAAATGTAGTATTGTTTCCATTAACAGTTAATTATTTTTGAATAATATTGATTAAGTTCCATAATTAGCTGTAATTGTTTAGTTAAGCAACGAGTTAATGTGTTCTAAATAGATAATATGATAAAACTATTACTTAAAAATTAATTTACGTTTATTATATCGTTTAAATAAATTTTAAAATGCAAAAATAGGTTAAATAAAAGCACAAACGTTTATTTAAGGAAATTAAATGATAAAATCGGACGTTATTTGTTCCAAATTATGAAAATTGTGCGTGAGAGTCATTTATCATTGTGAAATTATAGCCTGCTTTAGAAATAATTTTTGAGTATAAACTTAGAGTTAACGGTTTAAACATAAAAAATTTTCTAATCTTAAGTAAGTTCTTGTTTCTTGTTTAATGAGAATGGCATTACAAGAGAATGTGCCTACACTTAAAAAATACTTTAGAAAGAAATTCTCGGAAAATGACGTGTTGGCATGTATGGTTCTATTGAGTAAAATACCTTGTTTATGAGTTTCTTAACAGCTCTAGCGAATGTTAAATTTTACTTAATAAGAAAGAAAGGCAATTAAAGGATTTTTTGATTTTTGACCTTTTATAATTGGATGCAGGCATACAATTTTTTTTAAAAAAAGTAAAAAACAAATTAAATTATAGAAAATACATTAAATATTTTGAGATTGTGTAATATTTAAATAAATATTTTGTCCTTGTTAACAAGATATGCAATCAATGTGAATTGCAAATGAAACGAAAAATAAATATAAATATATTAATCACGAGATTATTTTTTAACTCGATAAAAGTAAAATAACATACATAAAATATTTTTTTTTGATAGAAAAAAGTTGTAAAAATTTTCTTCTGCCTAAAGAATTTTTAAAATCTTCAATCATGGATCAACATTCCTATGACATCTATTGAACTGTGAAATTCTTTAGACATTCCAGAGATATTTAATAGAAACTCGATGTTATATACACTTTTTTCTAACTGAAAATAATACTGTTTATTTAGTTTCTTTATTACTTCTATCAATTTTAATCGATTTATATAGGTTTTTTTTAATTTAAAAAATAATAGGATAGTGCTAAATGATCGTCTACAATATCAATACATTATATCTCATTTCTTTTCTTCAAATGCCTGTCGTGCCGAGTTAACTCTAATCGTGTTATTGTAAGAATCATGTTACCGACATAACAGTCTTCTTCTTTTTTTTTCTTTAAATATTTTCAAATCCTCTTTACACATTACCTAACTCGGACATACGAGAACATCTCAATTAAAAAAGATAACTTTCTATATTTTTTTAATTACCAAACTTAGCTTATGATCCGGAAATAATCGTGAGCCAGAAGTTCAAAATTCTCTTTCTTGTTTTTCTTTTTTATTAATTTGCGAACAAACTGGATCTCGTAGGCATTCGTGTTTTACCACATCGACTACACGTCCAAGGTTAACTAGAATATTGCTGAGTAAAAATGAAGTTGCTGATACTAGAATTTGCTACACTTTAATGTTAAATGTAGTATTGTTTCCATTAACAGTTAATTATTTTTGAATAATATTGATTAAGTTCCATAATTAGCTGTAATTGTTTAGTTAAGCAACGAGTTAATGTGTTCTAAATAGATAATATGATAAAACTATTACTTAAAAATTAATTTACGTTTATTATATCGTTTAAATAAATTTTAAAATGCAAAAATAGGTTAAATAAAAGCACAAACGTTTATTTAAGGAAATTAAATGATAAAATCGGACGTTATTTGTTCCAAATTATGAAAATTGTGCGTGAGAGTCATTTATCATTGTGAAATTATAGCCTGCTTTAGAAATAATTTTTGAGTATAAACTTAGAGTTAACGGTTTAAACATAAAAAATTTTCTAATCTTAAGTAAGTTCTTGTTTCTTGTTTAATGAGAATGGCATTACAAGAGAATGTGCCTACACTTAAAAAATACTTTAGAAAGAAATTCTCGGAAAATGACGTGTTGGCATGTATGGTTCTATTGAGTAAAATACCTTGTTTATGAGTTTCTTAACAGCTCTAGCGAATGTTAAATTTTACTTAATAAGAAAGAAAGGCAATTAAAGGATTTTTTGATTTTTGACCTTTTATAATTGGATGCAGGCATACAATTTTTTTTAAAAAAAGTAAAAAACAAATTAAATTATAGAAAATACATTAAATATTTTGAGATTGTGTAATATTTAAATAAATATTTTGTCCTTGTTAACAAGATATGCAATCAATGTGAATTGCAAATGAAACTAATTTGAATAAAGTTTTATAAGGAAAAAATAAAATAAAATAATGATCATATAAACATATAGAGTTCTCGTTTTAATAAATTTGAAATAAATAATCAATTTTTTAAAGCCAGCAAATTTAAATAAGATAAAATTTTCAAATTTCTTATTAAAACTAAATGTGTAACAAATTTAGATCTTTTTATCTGAACATTTGGCTAACTCCTGCCATCTGTTGCAGAAATTATATAACAAATTAACGAAACCTATCGAAAATGTAATTAGTGGAAATTTTGCGTTTTGCTATTTATATTTGATTCTTTCTACTCTATTAACTGACTGTATAGACATTTACAGATTTTAACCATGCTGTTTACTCAAACCCGTTGCTGTCATATAAAACACCCTGAAAGATTCTTAACAGATATTGAATACACGTAGCTGATTTTGATAGACATAAGCAACCGCTTCACTAGTAGACCTTACTACCAGATTAAGGAAATTTTGAAGCCACATGTTTAATCATATAAATGCTTGTTTCGTATCATACACAACTTTTATATAAACACAGTTCGTAAATATTCATATAAACATGTTACAGTATCTGTGGAAAGTGTTTTAAGATATTGACATAGTAATTTTTATATAGCTCTTCTGTAATTATTAACTGAATATATGACTAGAACACAGCAAATATTTTTTCAATTAAAAAATTATCGAAAAATAAATAAGATTATTATAGGTTACAAAATTCCCTTTATGTTTTTTTTTTTTCAGTTCTATCTGCACCATTCTCCATAGCATATTCTTTAGATAATTTATCTGAAAATCATATCTGATAAAAATATACTTAGAGATATATATAGGTTTACCCAGTTTACAAATGAGTTCCAAAATGAAATCGAACTGAAAACATAATGGTAATAATGGAGCACGATTCCCAAGGTCGCTCATATTCTTATATATACTGTATAGGTATTACCATTTAATTACACGTATGTTGTAATGTTTGTAATTCATTTGCATGCTTAATAACTGCGTTAATCGAATTATACAAAAATGGTGCTTTTACTAATTAATTACAATATTTTATTTTTAAAAATTCACTGAAATTTTAAGGAAAACAACATTCAAAGAAATCAAAAATCATACTGAGAACAATGTAAATATCTATCAGATGGTAAAGCAAACTTTTTTCTGACGATGCCAGGTAGGAGTACCAAAAATTTCTTATTTTACCTTATTTACAAATCTAATAATTGAAATATGCTTCTACATTTAGATTAGAAAATAAAAAGTTCAATACACTTCGTACTTCTCTAATATCCGTACATTTTAACTGGTCTGTTAATTAATCAGTTGATCTGAAAGTTAGAAATTCAATAAATGTTGAATTTCTTGATTAATTTTAATTTTTAATTCGTTTACTTTCGGCAGTCGTACGTAAGGATTGGCTGTATAGGCTTATATAAATTTCTTACTAACCAATGTTTGGGATGTAAACTTATCATTATCATCTTGGAAGGGGTTATAGTATAATTTTATATTATTGAATGACTAAAATTAATGCAAATTTTATTAGACTAATGAGCAATTATTTATTGTGGCATCGTCACAATGTCACAAAGTTTTATTTAATTTAAAATCTATGCTCTCCACCTCAAATTAGTACTAGCTTACCTCTGTTCATCATATTTTTCTTTTAACAATAGAGTCGTGCTGGTACTTCTTTCAGGGAAAAAGTTTTGAATCGAAATAATATGACTTACGGTTTTCATCGGAAGTTCATATATAGTTAATCGGAGACTCCTGCCCCTAAGGTTTCCATATCTGGTTTAGTCTTCTCATCTATCTAACTCCGCTCTCGAGATCAAGGAAGAACAGACGGACGTACGAAAGTGGTAATTTATTGGTCTACAGTTTTTTTCAAATTACAGCCCAATTATAATTTAAACAGTATTATTTATGTTAAATTTAACTGTTTTTAAATACTAAATAATATAAATTATAAATTCTGAATTGATTTTATATTTATTTACATTTGCAGCATTCTTTTAGCCCAAAATATTTTCTGTATGAAATTATATTGTAGCCTATATTAAGTGGACTAAGAATGTTTCGAAAATTCGGTTGTGGCAATGTCTCAATTTAGTAATAATATAAATAAATGTATTTTTAATAAGTTGAAAAATTTGATTCTCTCAGCAGAAATACGCATATANATATATATATATATATATATTCTTAAATTGTTTTTGAATTTTTATACTAAGTAAGAAAATATCTACAGTGAATATTTTAAAATATTTACTTTATGTATTATATTTTGAAACTTTATCAGAGAACGCTGTTTCCATTTGCATTATATTGCGTAAAAGAAATACAGTAAGTAGTACAGAAATAAAATAAAATAATTTATATTGTAAACATCTATAAAATAATAAAATAATTTATGTAGTTTAATGATCTAACTTTTATCTTCAAGCTTATAAGAAAAAACTTACATTATATCGTGCTACTTCTGTTTTTGTAAAGACGACTTTACTTTTTGTGTTTAAAACTTTAAAAAAAATCTCAAAAATCTATTTCTGATACTGAATTTAATCAAAGTCTACAAAAAGAAAGAAATTAAACGCGATAAAAATTTATAAATTACAGTAATGTGACTAGTTTCCGTGAGTTACCCGAAAATTTAAAAAAGAGAATGTAGCTAACGAGACAGGAAGGTGATTATTTTTTTCATTTTAATGATTTTTACATTTTTACATTAAACTGTTTTTTTTCAATTCAGAGTTAACGATTTCTCATAATTATATAGTTAATAATTTATATACCACAATTATTTACTTTATTGTTTAATTTATCCACTGTCTTTGTTAGGTTGTATAAGACGTTCTCTTTCTTCTTCGGAATATATCGATACTAAATTATTCCAATTTTCATCCGTTCTTTTAATGTGTTCAGGATTCGTTTTTCCTTTTCGTTTCCTTACAGTTTTCTTGGAACGATTTCTTTTTCCATTTCCTTCTAATTTTTCCTTGAAATATATCACAGGATCACCATAAAAGAAAACCCATCCGATATGAGATTTCGTAGGATCATCAGTTTTATGAGCTTCCCTTCCCGATGTCAGTATGTATCGAGATAATATAAAAATTAATAACTGTTCAAATATAAATTAGCGTTCCATTAATCCAATAAAATATTAAATTATTCCTTTTACTAATTTTTTTTAAAATTACCTGTATTGTCATTATTACGACTATAAACCATATTATTTTCTTCGTAAGAAGAAGTAGATATTGAGGTAAAACATCATTACAACCTTTACTATTGAACATTTCTATAGTATCATAGTACGTTATTCCTTTTCTTTCTTTAAAAACAAATTTTGGATAGCATGGACCATCAAATGTTAAATTACAGCAACTTTCAGGTACCCATTCTGCAGTTAACTTGTTTCTGAAAACATATATTTTATAAATACAGTAATACAGTTAAATGTTAAAATTAGTATCAAGATATCTTACTCGATGCCAGTTCTTTGAATAATAACTTGTCGAGGAATCCAAGCTATATCCATCCAATCTCCGATTCCTTTACCACCACAACACTTCAAATTAATCTGTAATTTATCTAACATGACTTTTATATCTTCAGATAATCTATATTTTTTCATTGATGGGATTATATCGAATTCCCACGGAGGCTTCAACTCCCAAAAGTGAGATATTAGTATAAGTAAAAACACAACTTCGCTCATGAAGAACATCAAATAAAATAGGATCCAATAGCCGAAATAATTCAGAAATATCCATCTGTTCCATGCGTTACTATAATTCGAACTTATCAAAGCTCCGGATATATGTAAAATAATGCTAATGTGTGTTAGAATTGTAGCGAAAATTTCTGTATTTTCAAGGTTTAAACCAATGAGAGAATTCATTTCCACGTATTCGATTTGATTATGACGATTAAGTAGAATTACAGAATAAACGAAACACATAATAATATGTAAAAATAATAAACAAAAACCAATAATTCTTCTCTCACTTTCTGTAAATAGTATTCTCATTTTAAATGTTATTGTTATACACTATGGACTATTGTTAAATACAATTATCTCAATAATTTAAAAGAATTGTTGAGATAATTGTAATATAATTTATTCATTATATAAATCTCTAACAAATTAAATTTAATTAAATTTTTTTATGAATTTCATACGAAACAAAAATAATTTATGGATATTCAAACTTCCATTATTAACATTCTTAAATTATGTTTTTGGGGATATTTGTTTAATAATAATTAATAAAAATAAAATAAATAATGCTGATTCTCGCTACTATTTGTTTATATATTTTTATNAGATAGATAACCAGCACTACTCTATTGTTAAAGGAAAAATATGATGTACTGTACAGGGGCAAGCCACTACTAATTTGAGGTGGAAAGCATGTATTTTAAATTAAAATATTATTAAAAGTAGGTTATATTATTTAATAAATATAATAGGCCTAATAAACGAATTACGCGAATTAAATTTAAGGATTACGTTGGAATTTTTAATTTTGTTTAAAAAATTCTTGTGTTCGGATATTTGCAGAACAGACAAAAATCAATAAAAAATTGTTTCTTAGAAAATGAAACATTTAAACTGATTGATAATACATAATTGTCCAAGTTGTTTCACTAGTTCTAATTCAAAGAAAGTTATATAGCCTACAGATATATAGGGTAATGTTAATAGTTTCTAATTTTAAAATTTCGCCGGGTTAACGTAACCTTATTTGGAATCTGATAAATAAAAATTTGAGTTTTGGTAATGTTAATGTTAATCTTGAAAATTTAGTTTTCTCTTAAGGAATTTCATAAGATTATTTAATATTACTCAATACAGAAACTATTAGGTTCTAGTTTCTGTAGTTTAATTGAATTTCAATTCAATTACAATCCATAAAAAATAATAACAACAAATGAATTTTCTCCTTTATTTAGCTAAAAATTATCTACTTTAATAATGAGCGAAAAATTTACTTCATAACCATTAGCGATGAGACGTGACGCGCGATGCTATGGAGAATTTCACGCGATTACTTAATTTAAACGAGCATAATTAATTTCGCAAATCAATTAATTAACTCCTTTTATTGAATTGAAAAAGTTTAATGTATAATGAATATTTGATACTTTTGAGTTATTTTCTCGCATGTCGCGTCGCGGCGTGTGTCTCATTTAATTCTCATAAGTAAATTTTGTACAAATCAAAGATATAATTAATGTTTCAATAATATTAAAATATATATATATATTTTTAATCAAATCAGAATAATTATATTTTAAGAAATAAAACGTATTATACAGTGTTTAATATTACGCGCTAATATGCAAATTAGTCTTTGATTTGAGCATTTGTGTTGATGGGAGAACTTGTGGACAATGGATTATTCATCTAATATTTAGAATTTGCCTACGTCTGAAGTTGGTGTTAGTATTCTGCAGGAATATGGTGTACTATATTCTCAAAGGTTTCACAAAAAAATCATAAAATGAAGTTAGATTTAGAGTGAAAAAATCCAAAATGGAGGTGAGGTTGACAAAACAACAAATGCAATTGTTATACTGGTATACCGACAAATATATGGAAAAGGCATAAGTTCAAAGTGGAACGTCATGAAAACATCTAAATTGGTATATTGCCGAATTCGTAGTTGATGAAACTTATTTTCCAAATTAATAAAGTATAAGTTCCATGAACTATTAAAAAGTATATGATAAAAAATGGCTATCCTGTTAAACCAGTACTTGGAGAAGCAATGTAAGTTGAATTTATTATATTTTAATATTATACAAGTATTAAAAAAGAAATCTACATAAATAATATGTTACAGTAATAATAAATATAAATATTTGTCATAATTTTAATATTTTAGTAAATTTAATATTTGAATGATTGATTGATTAATTTTAGGACCTAGTCAGTATACAGTTATTGTCATCATCATCGGATAATAGGCCTTAAGTTCTTTTTGTGCTATTCACCTTTTCATGTGACTGACAATATGCGATCATTATCAAACCTTGTCATCAGTCTGTCCGTCCTTCCTTAATCTCGAGAACGGAGTAAGACAGATGAAACATGAAACCAGATATGGAAATCTTAGGGGCAGGATGCCCCAACTAATTATATACAAATTTCTGATGAAAACTGAAAGTCACGTTATTTCAATTCAAAAATTTTCCTCTGAAAGGAGTTAGATAGATAACCAGCACTACTCTATTGTTAAAGGAAAAATATGATGTACTGTACAGGGGCAAGCCACTACTAATTTGAGGTGGAAAGCATGTATTTTAAACATATATACCGCATAGTAATTAGTAACATAAATAAATGTGATTAAATAAAAATTTTATCGTTGAATATTGTTCGGCTTCTAACAAAAATATGTTAATAATAATAATATAGGCCTAAATTATTTTATTATACTTTGAATAATATACATTTAAAATATTTGAATTCTGTCAGTCAAAGATTTAAATATACAGGTTAATAATCAATTTTGATTGAATAAAGGTGTATGGAATTTTTGAAATTTAAATTTAGAAACTTGTTTTATGCGTATTACATTAAATTAATTTTATCTAATATTAATATGTATAAAATATATTTACAGATTATGAAAAGTTAATATTAACATGGGTTTATTAATATAAACAATTGTAATAAAAGATTAAACATTACCAAAATTTAACTATCTAAAGAATACATTTATTTACTTCAAATTATTTATGAACATTTACAATATTGCAAATTCTTATTACAAAAAAAGCATAAAATGATTAATTTTACAATATTTAAAATTTGCTACAATTTTTAAATCAAATTTTTATGGGCTGTTTAATATTAATCATTGCATGTAACAATCTTTCCATTTCGTCAGAATTCAAATCTATAAAATAAGTAAATATAAAAATTAATTTACATAATAATAAATATAAATATTTTATATATTTATATTTTAGTCGCATATTTAATTATGACAAATATAAATATTTGTCATAATTTTAATATGCGACTAAAAAATTAAATAAGGTATTTAATTACATAAAAGTATATAAAAGTTAATTGCATAGAAGTAACATAAATAATAATCCGATTAACAAGTCTGTTACTCTGTTGTAAGAATGCTATACATCATCAATTTATTGTTAGAAAGCTTCGGAGCCTCTTTGATTTTTATTGAGTGAGCTCCCTATTTGATAAACATTCACACGAGAACTTCATTTATTCTCGATTGTCACGGAACATATGGGATTGAAGTATATAGAACAATGAAAGGCCAGGGGTTAGAAGAACTGTGGTTCTCACGGGGCTTGCCCTCATCTTGCTTTACCACCCGCTGTTATCAATAAGAGTTGAATGGAAAGTGATAGCCGACTTCATTCTTTTCCACATCCTTTTAATGCTACACTGGCTGTGACATTTTGCGAGTGAATATTGGCACGTGCTTCTTCGATTTATTCCGAATAAAAGAATGAATGCATAATTTATAACTAGACAAGTCTATTCAGTTACTTTTCAGTGATAAATTTAGGCTATAATTTTTCTATATTAAAAAGGTTTGTTGTTAAATTTTTAATAGAAAATTTTAGGTTAAGGTTTATATCAAGTAGAAATTTTTATATAAAAATTGGGGAAAATTTGGAAATTTACTTAAAATTTTAACAGTATGTACGCGCTTCGCAAATGCTTAATTAATATGTGAATTACAGAGAAAAACATTTCACCCCAATGTAACACGATGAAGGGAAAAATCAAATTTATCTTATGAAAATCTAACTTGTAAACATCGTAGATATATTCAACAAGAATTAGTGTAAAGATTTTATGTAGTTTCTTCAAATTCGTGTGTACAGTACATGTATGTAGCACTGACACACTGAAGGGAGCGGACTCACTAAGAAATTTGACTTAGAAAATGTGTATTTTATAACTTATTTTAATTGTTAAATTTAAGCTACTTATGAATAAATATGTTGAAAATAATAATTCAAATCAACATAAAATATTCACTAAATTCTAATCGATATTCAATTTTTTCTAATATGCATTTTAAAGCAAATTGAATATATACATTTTTTTTTAAAATACATGTATGTTTGTATATAAGAATGCACCACCAAAAATTGAGTGCATTAGTGTGTATGTGTATATAATATAATATAGAAATATTTATGATTTAGTTACAATGTTTATACAAGATACAAAGATTATATATAGCCTACATATATATAGGCAGCATGTATAAGCTATGATATGAATTTTTAAATCAGTTTTCATTAGTATCTTGTTAAATAAGTGTTTCAAAAACTGAAATATTAAAGGCTTACAAATAGGACTTAAATATTATAATATATATATATATATCATCATTTTA